AATTTATGTAATCCGCCAAGTTTATAACGTTACAAGCCTCGGAACATCGTCGTTGGAATGTGAGCAGATGTTGGTATTATCCTTTAGAAAGATGAGCAACAAGACAGCATTCTTATGAATTCCCGTGTGTGTCTGTGTGTCTGTGTGTGTGTGTGTCTGTGTGTCTGTGTGTGTGTGTGTGTCTGTGTGTCTGTGTGTGTGTGTCTGTGTGTTTATGTGTGCAACTCTGTTTCTTTCCTCTCAGAAACCAAAATCTGACATTGTGGCTACCCATAGCCAGAAACAAAAACGACCGTGGGCAGAGGCGTAGCGACCCTTCCTGGCGCCCGGGTACAAACTTTCGATTTCGATTTGCACCCCCCTTAAACTTTCAATTTCTTTTTCCAACCCATTTTGGCACCCCCTAACACACAAAAAATAAGTTAATACTTTCATTTTTTTTTTACCTCCATTTTATTTTTGCCCTTTAATTAAAAAGGGATCCAAAATTTTGTTTTTGAACTAATCCAAAGTGACTATGCGATAATGGGTAATTTTTTTTTTTTAATTTTTTTGAATATCACTTTCATAAATGGTTATTAGATATTTTTATATAAAATTTATTTTTAGCCTAAATATTTGAAACAAAAGTTAGTATGCAATATAATATAAATTTTAACAAGTATACTTTTTTATAATAATAATTAATGGAAAGAGTTTGTTACACGGTCGCATATCTACATTAAAACTGAAGAAGGCAAATCTGTGTTATTATTTCCCTTTTAAAGTCTCGTGTGTAAATGTATTAACTAGCCGCATAGAAAACAGGCAAAAACAAACCACTGTATGCTTTATAAGATATTCTGTGGCCTGTGTCAGTTTTGAAAGTTGACTTTTTCATGGAGACATCTGGTATAAATGATCACATATATTTAAATATGAACAATGATTTTTACTCTCAGTGTTTTTAAACAATGTAATAATCGATAGAAGTTATGATCGACTCCGATTGCTTCACAAATAGTATTAAATTTAAAAAAAAATGAAAAGTTTTTATTTAAATAATACAGTTTGATTATTAATAATATAACACACTTTCAATATACTACGTTTACTTCACAAAATCTATCATTAGCTAAATCAATGGCTCGCGCCGTTGTTGTTGTTTCTTCTTTCTTCTTCTTCGTTCTTAACTATTAGTGTTGAAGGGGATCGAGATTTATCTGCCAGTGGGTTTGAAAACTTCCTTCTGGCTTGTAGCTTGTTTTTTCGAGTGTACTGGGTTTTTCGGGAAAAAGCTTCGTGTATATGTAATGAAAAAACCCGTTTACTGTTTAAATATTGGAAGCTAATTGTAGGCTTAGATGACCTACCGTCTCGGATAAAAACTAGTTTTTGTTTCAATGTGATTTTTTTGTATTATGACTTACTGTTTTTATTTTTTGTAATGTCTCAGATCAATTAATTATATTCAGCGCTCCTGAACCTTGCCTCGAAGGTGACCGCTAATTAATTATTTGTATTTCATCATGTGACATACGAAGACCGCAGTAGTTTTACAACTTTCCGCTACCTTCTTAAATGTACGTATAATATATTGAACCGTTAATTAGCGGGATTGGGTGTTTTAAAGTAGCAGCTGGCATAATCTAATGAATAAACACTGACATTCGCTTTCCACCTTTGTGCGTTTTGTCCCTTTTAATTTTAAAAAATTTTTTTTTTAAATTATTTTTTTTTCATCTCAGATTTGTAAAGTTTTTCAGCGTGCCTAGCCTTTGTTTGTGTGGTGGTAGTTGCTGATGTTTTCTTATTTCCATCATGCGAACTATGAAGTCTGTTGAAGAATTTCAATTTTAAGCTACTCCTGAAACTTTCATTCTTAATTGTACAGTTTTGTCCCTTTTAAAGGGATCCAAAATTTAGAGAATTTATTTATGTTGCAGTGGTAGTGTTAATGAAAGTAAAATTATACTAATAATAAATTTAATCTGATAAACTTAAGGTTTTGTATTTATATTTATACGTTATTTGTATACAAATTAAATAATTATTGACCCAATTTACACAATTTAAATGAGCCCAATTTATAATAAAATAAAATATGATAAATACTATATAACATTTAAACTTTAAACTTTTTATAACTTTTAATTTTTATAAAATACTTAATTAGAAATCGAAATAGTTGATTTTTTAAATTATCACCTCCCTTGGATTACATCTTCCATTGTTTCTTTTATAACTGAGTCTTATAATGGCTAGCTGCTGTGATTAAGTTTGTTGGTCGACTGTAAACAGAACAATATAAATTGGGGGGAGGGCACATAAATGGGTAGTAAAAAATATAAATTGTCCAACTAAAACATTATATAACCGCGCAACGCTAATACCTCGCGTGATGCATCTAGGGAGGTTTTAATCCAAAATAAATAATTTTAGTAACCAACCCTAGGTGTAGGCCTATATCAAATCAATTGTTATACCTGATTTTAACCAGCGATCATTTATAATTTCATGTTACTTTCGTATAAAGGACAAGAAATAAGGAAATCGGAATTAAGGTAGATATCGGTCTATAGCCTCACCATTAGAGACATAACCCCACCCCCAATAACATCCTATCAATCAACGAAACAGGTATGTTGCTGTTTACACTAATTGGACTTATTGTAACGTTACCTCTCCCATGACTTTGGCTGTTGTTACAGTAGACAACGATCAAATCGGATAGTCTCCCACATGGAACTATCAGCAAATGGAAATACATTGGTCATGATCAGGGGGTTTCCAAACTTTTCAGTCCTAGGGCCGCATTAACTATCAAATTTCAATTTGGGGGCCAGTTTAGTCCATGCATATTCCTCAGCCATCACCATCAAACATTTATTCCGTGGACAAAAAGATCTCCGCGGGCATGTATTGTGAAGACAAGCAGAGAGAACTAACGATTGCATTCGTTCACAACTCATTACTTTAATTTCCTTCTGAGTTTGTACCACAACCCGGCGTACCCCAGTCTGTAGACAGTCGCTCTACTGTTGTCTCGACTTATGTACCAGTACATAGCCAGGTTAGTTTGCCCTGTGTTCTACAGTAGATTCAACACAGGTTGATGTAGCTTTGAGGATGTAACACTATAACGGTCAACTCGTCTACAGTATCAAATCTCCTGTTTATGATTCTTACCTTAGACATTGATCTTTAAAGCGCTAAAGCTAGATAATTATTTAATATTTATGTTCGAGATTTGTTCCACTTAAACATATTTTATTTAATAAGATATATAGTTATTTATTTCTCTAAAATAATGTTTAAATTGATACACAAGATAATGAAAAACACGCATCAAAACACACTTTGCGATGAAAAAAGTATATTTTTTTATATTATCTCCCTTATATCAAATTTTTCATTGTTTCTTGTATATGTTTGCATTGAATTTCATCCAATTCTGATTTTTTTAATAGATTTTTCTTTTAATTACTGCATGGTTAACGTGTGTAGAAAGTAAAAAAAATATAGCTATACGCAGTACACAGATCACTTCCTATCTTTAGCACACAAGCACACACACACGCCCTAACTGTAGCACACGGAATAATAACCACATTACATTTAAGTTTATAACCACTGCCACATATCCATTTGTTTTTAAATAGCTGAGTATATGCAACTTGATTATGATCAGATAGATGCAATACTATTGCACCGATATAACAGTTCATAGTCTGAAGTATTACAAGCTGCTGTTTCACTCTAGCGCAAACACAGTTAATGAATAGAATTGTCAATTTTATTAAAGTGACAGCGAAGTAGAAGTATAATGGTTCTAATTCAGGCTGTTTGATTTATAATAAAGCGGAAATAATCTCACCCTAAACTTTCTCAAATATTGTTAGATAACACTAATGGGGGATGGCAACTCCAGTGCATCCGGAATACACTTTTTTTTAAAATCAATACTATTTTTTTTTACTTAGAATAGAATCGCGTAAAAAAGCAATTGCGAAATGCTTATAAAGAACTACAAGTTTTTTTTTTTTAAATTACTCACAATTACTCACAATATTATATTAGAATTCTCGAGAAAGTTTAGGGGAGATCACTCTTGGTTTAGTTTTATTGCTATGCAGTCATAACCCAGATAAATTTGTAGTGCTCAATTATTATATTTTCCTTTTAAGTCAACATAGGTGAAGATTAGGCATGTTTCTAAAAGGGTGGGAAATTAGACTAGAGATGTATTCTCTATCTCATTTATGAAAAACTGAAAATATGCTGATATTACTTAACTAAAGATCGATAATTATCATATTTTTCCTAATAATAAATTAGAAATTAAATTAAACTTTTACTTAAATTTCGGTATAGTTTAATGACATTTAAATCAAATTAAATTTCTTTCCTTTATTTATTTTTTAGTAGAAATTAACTGAATAAACTTTTGAAAAGCTTAGTTTGTAAACCGCTGTAATTCTTTAATTTATGTGTTAAATTCAGAAAAATAAATCGTGTTTATAATAACATGTAGCCTATCTATTCTAATATATGTTAGAATAATCTTAATTAATATAATTATAGTCAATCTCACCTACTGATTAAATGCTAGCTACTTGCCACCATTTTTTAAATGAGCAAAGTCATCTTCTAGATCTATATCGGAACCACGATAATTTAGAACGTTTGATAGTTATTAAAAGTTAATTTTTAAACATTACAAATTTAGTTACAAAAGGGGAGATAACAGTAGACGTAGTCTCCAGCTAGCACTCGATCAGTTAGTTGACAACCAAGAGCTGTCTATCACTGACCGCTGATTTCGTATACGAGAAAATAATAAGGGATCCAAAATCTTTTTACAATGATTTTACACATTTAGAATAATGTTTTATTATTTAAAAATATCACTTTAATTATGGCTTACTGATTGTTGTATATAAAGTCATGTTTAACAAATATTTTAAAAAATTAGTGCAAATGGAATATATATATTTATTTCTAAATGATCAGTCAAAAGACTATGGACATGTTTCGTAGATCTACACATACACTGAAGAAGGCAAAATCGTTGTTATTATTAACCCTCTCTTGTCTTAGTCTTATGTATAGCCTACATGTATTAACTAGCAAAATATTTTATTTACAAAAAAAACGTGTTAAAGATACCAAGTCGATGTATAAACTACAAAAGTGCTAAAAAAATGCTTTAAATGTATGTCCTTCAATAAACAAGTAGATATCAATAATAAAGATTGATTTTTAATAATCTAAATTTAAAAAACGTTTACATTAATAACATTAAAATAACAGTTTACTAACAATACATTTTCAAGAATGTGTTGGTCTATATTATGCCTTACATATGCCTTACAACTCCCCACTATAATTTCCTTCAGTGTCGGATCCACAGTGGGGATGTTGATAGACCCATCCTTCATACCCCAGTCTGTAGAGAGGCGCTCCACTGGAGCCTGGACATGTACTTGCCGTGTACCAGTACCTGGTCAGATAGCCGTTTCTCTCATATTTGCTTGTCCACTCGCCTACAGAGACGTATTTAGGACAGCCGTGGGGATGTGACACAATAATAATCAATTTGTCTTCATCATTAAATCTGTATTTATGTTCTGCTTTCTCACATAGATCCGAAAAGCGTTGACACAAATTGTCCAGTTCATCAAACAAAGCTTCTGACTCACAAGAGGCACAGGCAAACACACACCAGTCCCTTGCAATGTCCACCCTTCCCCTCATCTCCCAGCCATCAAGAGTGACTACTGGACTTTTATTGTCATCAAAACCTAAAACACACCTGGTCTGTCTCACCTCACTGTCATCAAACACCACGTGTGAGACTGTCAACACGCGAAGCTCTCCCCATATTTTGCTGGGTGTGGCAGAGACTTGACATTTTGCACAACGACAATTTCTATTGTCACTCTCTGTGTACTTTTCAACGCTATAAACTCTCCCAGTCCCCAGCCTTAACACGTGACTTCCTCTGTCATTATAACATGGATATGGAACTTGAGTGTCTGGGTAAAACTCTGGTCTCTCTAGACTGGTGAATTTAGTCTTTATCTGGACAGTTAGGGCTGCCAATGTTTTGATTGTCTCAGACATGAGGTCGTCGTCATGGTAACGCGAGGGGAGACAATTTAAGTTGAAATCTTTAAGAGGTATAAAACCTTTGTGACCTGGATTCTTCTCACAGCCAGTCATATGTTTGTGTAGATCAGCTTCTCCTCCATAGCACACTTCAGCGTCGTGTTTTCCTGTTTATTGAAGTGACTATGCTATAGAAATATCTACTAAAATTATTGAAATAACTATATTGTGTCTTAAAAATAAAATGCCACCAGGATCTGATTTTAGCTTAATATTATTTCTTATTCCGTATTTTGCACACTAAAAAATACACGGCACCACTTCATTTTAGAAACGGGTAAGATTTTTTTTTTTGAGGAATGCATTTGGTGTCTTATTCATATATGGCCTGTGCGTATATATTGAATACGAACACAGTTTCTTCATGAACATTTCTCACCTCTTTTGTATGGTTTAAATGTGGATTCACTTTATCTAATTTCTTATAGGTGCCCACTAATTGATATACTACAAAAAACAGACACTATTTGACTACCAAATAGCATTCTTTTAGCAAGAAACATTTTTGTTAGCAGTTAAAATTCAATAAAAGTAAATACAGAATTGTAGGTAACGTATATACATTTTTATTGCTCTTGTTATTATTAGAATTTTCCCCATAGACATCAAACATTTGTTTTTTTTTCTTGCATGGGTTAATGTCGCGCGGTTTAAGTTCGGGGTTTATATCCATTGGGTTTATGTGCAGACATTTATATTAAACATTTCTTACCTGGATGAAAAACGTGTTTGGTCCTACACTTAGTTGTTTCATCTAAAACATAAATTTAACAGCGTAATAAATACTACACAGTAATTAGTTTTGAGTATGAAGATTAAGTCAAGAAATTAACAACCACTTTTGTATTTGCTTTGTTTCTATAATATTTTTCAATAAAACTCAATACAATACAAATGTGTCTCTTATTTAAATAGTTTACCTATAAGCTTTGAATCCAATTGTTGTTCTTCCTTTTCGTTTGAAGTTTCCATGCCTTGAGTATCTGTAGACATTTTATCGTGTGCTTAAAATTACCTAATTAGGTTTTATTACTCTACGATTTTGTATGTATGTATATATACATACATACAAAATCGTAGAGTAATGTATATATAGAGTAATTTATATATATACTAGCCGTCCCGATCAGGCCCTGCACTGGCCTCAGTAAAAATCTGTAAAGGACCATGACTCGTGGGTTTATTAAGCAGCATATACCAAAGGCTTAGCGACCCTTCCCGGCGTCAGGGGAAAAACTTTTCGATTTGCACACCCCCCCCCCCCCCTCAAACTTTCGATTTCCAACCCCCCCCCCCCCCCCCGCCTCGAGATTTCGATTTGCACCCCCCCCCCCTCAAACTTTCAATTTGCACCCCCCTCAACCTTTCAATTTATTTTTCAACCTATTTTGGCGCCCCCTATGGTCGGCGCCCGGGGACATATGTCCCCCCGCCCCCCCCCCCCCTCGCTACGCTACTGGCATATACCCGCATGGATATTTGACAAAAGAACCCATAAACCTAAGCCTAAAAACGGAATCCCATGTAAGCACTTTGGTGCCTAGGATTTATTTTTTTAAAGGCTATGCACTTATGATTCTTTAAATCAAGTCGCACACTAAATCATCCGGCGCCCCCGCAGGGTGCTATTAGGCTATCCCGGGATTTCCCGTGAGCTCGATGGCGCATACTTTTGTTTTAAACAGTGCGATAAAATATGCATAAGTTGTGGTATAGTCGTTCACTAAATTGAATGAGATGCGTCCGCCATCTCCCTCGCAGTGTGCGATTTGACGCCCCAAACTATTCTGTGAGCAATATGGGGACTACGTACATTTTAAAGAACAGTCTATAATATTGACACGTAGGCACACGACATTCGATAATTAAACCAGCCAGGGGGCGTAAGCGGCGCTCATCTCTTAATGTAATTGCGGGCTCCCAAGAGAGCCCTTCTATATCACTGAAATCTGGACGGTCACAGAAGTGTGTTCTCTTTCACAATTACGTGATTGACGTACACTCAAGGCTTTTATACAGCACGGGCTGCAGTCTAAGCAAAACCGAGCCCCGACAAATATGCTCCAAGAAATATAGTGCACACATTGTTTTCATTTAAATATCTCAGTGTTAATAAACAAGGTCACTCGTCTAAGAATATAGGACTGGTAACGCAATTATGGAATCCTCTCAAAATATTACGTCAGACTTTCTTTGGAGGCCTCAGCAACGCGCGTGAACGGACACGTTAGTATATGTATTTGAGTATATATATATACATACACACATATATATATATATATATATATGTGTGTATATATATATATATATATATATATATATATATATATATATATATATATATATTCCTGCATTACAGAGTCAATGATTACACACACAGCTGTATTGGATTACTGAAGTATGTAACACTAAGGACAAAGGGTCGAATAAGAAAATCAATAAGCTGAACGGGCAGTTGAAAAATAATATTCAAGCACAGTTTTAAAATAGATACATACGTCATGTACTGTTTCTTTGTCTATAGCCTTACAAATGTAGTGATGCCTTAAGATGTATTTTGTGTCATAATCACCATTCTTGTATACCTTCTGTTCGGCATAGGGATAAAACCACACATATCTATCTTACTATGCTCGGAGCTATTCCATCAACTTAGGCCTATGATATTTCGATTGTTTGTTTAACTGACAATTGATTTTTTTTAAGTTTTTGTTCTTACATATTTATTCTTTTTCCGTTAACATTCTATTATCTATTACCCATATGTCAAAATTATTTGTTGGTTTTCGCATGTCTGTCTCGTGTGCGTGCTGGATAAAGTATTTTATTCGGTGATGTGTTGTATTCTTATTTTTCACAGGTATGTCGTTTTATAATGTTAGGATTTAAGATGGATCATACTTCAATATATTTTTAAGTAAAAGCAATACTTAATTACTACATTAATCTACTAGTCTATAAGCCTGATCAATTAACATTGTTTCCCTAAAAGTTAGGCTTCAATATAACTTAGTTCGTATAACTTTGCTATATCGAAATTTAAAAAAACAATTTTTGCATTTAATAATTTCAAAACATCTCTGTCGTCGCACACTGTAACAAATGTCAGTTTTGCCACACCACCTTCACTCCGCCCAATCCTAGCAATTCATACAGTGTGTTGTTATAATATGAACAACATAGAAACACATATTTCAAGTTACCTTTTGTCTCAATTTATCATACTATTGTTTATCGAACGACAAAATGCTATCGTCAAACAATTCCAAAGTTGAAGTGGAAGATTTTAATTAAGTTTAAATTATATATATATATATATATATATATATATATATATATATATATATATATATATATATATATATATATATATATATATAACTGTACTAGATCTTGTTTTGTATTAAATTCAGCAATTAAGGCATATTTTATATTAAGTAGTAAACTATTACGTTCGCTGCTTTGGTATTATATATTGTAATTTACATCTAGAAAAAATCTATATTGTAATTGACATCTAATGTTTATAAAAAACACAACCGTTTTTTTTTTACTTACCAACAGCCTGGTGCAGAACTGCGTCTGTAGACGTCCTGTCTGTGTACTGGTATATACCATGTATCAAATTTTTTTTTATGTATAATTGGGGGAACTCCCTACGTCATGTCTTCTGTTGAATAGCCTCCCATCTGAACTTTTTTTTCGTGTTAGAAATAGTTTAAATATATTCATAACAAGCATAGGTTTTTGGGTTGAGGCCAACTTCTTACGATTCAATAACTGATACTTTAAACAATTCTGTATCGATTTTTTCTTCACTATAGCTAGACCATGACACGTGACACGACAGGCATCGATCAAGTCAGATTAGGCCGTTCCTAGTTGTGCGTATAAAATCTTTATATTAGCCTAAATCAACCTAACTTTTATACGATGACCACTGTTAGTGTGTAAGGTACTAAACAAATACAGAATGCATTAATTACCTCGAATATAAATAATGCTTATTAATAATGCTTATTAATTTATTCTTTTTCAATTGTGTTCCCCACATAAAAGCATTTTAAATATTTTATGCAACTATTTATTGATAGTCTATATGCTTAACTTAAGATAAACATTAAATACAATTACATAGTTATGGGCTTATTGTATAGCTTTTTGTTTACTATAGCTACAGTTATCTGCTTTATTTTTCCACTTCAATTTTCATTATTTAACGAAATCAATAGAGATTAATTTGAAAATGGTTATCCCCTGAAAGATAGTTGTCTCATTTAATAATTCGTCTTTAGCTTAGCATGTTACCCGACAATAAAGCTAAACACTCTATAACAGGGGTTCCCAACCCTGTGCCCGCGGGCGCCATGGCGCCATTCGTATGTGCCCGCCTCTCACTATTCGAAAGAGACAGAATTTTTTTCATAAACATTATTTTAAAATATAATTTATTTTTATTCATTTGTTACAGTTTTAATTTATTTTACTGTCTAGGTTTATTAAATATGTTCGATACTTGTCTCAACTTGTCTAGCGGCGAGCCAGACTGCACTATTTACGCTAGCCTGGAACGGCTAGTGCCTTTTGCACATCACACCTTTTACAAGCAGAAAACCCGAAGTGAACGAATGGAACGAACGCCACGAACTGATCCGATAAACGCCGAAGGCGCCAAATCACAAGGCACATAACTCAGATTGCTTCAGCGATCATCGGCTCACTTCGGGTTTTCCGCGTGTATATGGAGTGATGTGCAAAAAGCATTCCCCGCCTGGAACCGCGTTATTGTCATTGTGATTGCTGCTCTGTTCTGGTCGCGACAGTTAGATAAGAGACATGTTCGTCAGACTAAACACGAATTAGGAGTTTTTTATAAACAAAAATTAACAGGCTAAAAGCGAGGTGCGTAATTTATTGTATTCATAAGCGATGATTTTTTTGTTTATTATTTATTAATACATTATGACTATAAGAAAATAAGAAATAAGAAAATAAATTATGGGAAAATGACAAGTTATGGATTTAAAATAGGTGGTGCCCGCCACCCTACCGATGTTTTAGAATATGATCTAGAGTAAAAAAAAGGTTGGGAACCCCTGCTCTATAAGACTGATACCAAGTAAGGTATGTAATAAATCGATACAAAACAACACAGGCATACGCACATTCTGCAATTCATACAACAGCTGACTCTTTTACCATTATTAATCCTGACGTCATCACACACAGAGCGTGACGAATGGTTATGCTGATGTGGTTGTGTTGAATCAATATTAATATTTAAAAATAACCATTGTATCTTTCTGAATAAAGCGTGTATCACTTATATACACAATTTGTAAAATATTCTTTAACATTTAATAAAATGCTTGCCTGTTTGGACAGTGCTCAAAACCTCTAGAATAATCATTTTTTCATACTTTACATAATGCAAAGATGGAAAAATCGTTATTTCTAAATGGTATTTATGCAGATAACTGTAGCAATAGTAAACAAAAAGCTATACAATAAGCCCATAACTATGTAATTGTATTCAATGTTTATCTTAAGTTTAGCATATAGACTATCAATAAATAGTTGCATAACATATCCCTAAGAATTGTTAAACGATGATTTGAAAATAATTAATTTTCATGAAGGCAAACATATCTTGACCAAAAAAAAAAATGTTTATTCAAGTAAAATACTTCTCTCCGAATTCATAAATAGCAACCATTATCTTTACCGACTCGACCACGCCGCTTCTAACAACACTTTTAATTAACACTATTTTAAAAACATTTTAAAGATCAAGAATCATGTTTTTGTTGAATAACGGCAATCTAATTACATCGCACAGTTGAGACTTGTAAATTGCTTTCACTAATGTGTCACTTTGACATTTTGTAACTTCAAATTGAAATAATACATAAGTGTCTTATGAAAATTTCTATGAAAACTATCATTAGCAGGGGTTTTCCCAACCACTTTATAAATAATACAAAAAAGTAATGTTTATTTTTAGGCTGACCTGTTTACATAAGGCAGACCGAGCTTGAACATAAACGGTATTGTAAACCAGCCCTCTTGTAAGTAGTAAGTGGGACAATAATACTATGATGATGTTTGTTTTTTAACTTAGTGTATACCCTTGACAATTAAGTCCATTGTATTCACATACTTTAGTGTTATTAATTTTCTCATACCACCTACTGCGTTGGCAAAACTGAAAATTATTGTTAATAGTTGTGGACTTTAAACTTGAGGTCATTTACATTCAATACTGAACTGTCATTATAGTCATTATATTCATTAGTCTTTATAGTCATTATAGTCATTAAAGTCTTTATAGTCATTACAGTCATTACAGTCATTACAGTCATTACAGTCATTACAGTCATTATAGTCATAATAGTCATTATAGTCATTATAGTCATTATAGTCGTTATAGTCGCTATAGTCATTATAGTCAATATAGTCATTATAGTCATTATAGTCATTATAGTCATTATAGTCGTTATAGTCGTTATAGTCATTATAGTCAATATAGTCATTATAGTCATTATAGTCATTAGTCATTATAGTCATTATAGTCATTATAGTCATTATAGTCATTATAGTCATTATAGTCATTATAGTCATTATAGACCATTCAACCAACTGGTAAAAGGATATGCTCACGATAAAAGAAGATATTTTTTTTCGTTGAGTTTATATGTTTTCAACAGCTGTTGTACAAACGTCACCCACGGCTAGTTTGGCTACTGAATGGAATTAATTTGAATTCTGATATAACACTATAGGGTGAAAGACATTATATATATATATATATATATATATATATATATATATATATATATATATATATATATATATATATATATATATACTAGCCGTCCCGGCCAGGCCCTGCTCTGGCTTCTGTGAAAAACCTTTCTGTTAAAGACCATTACCTGTGTGTTTAGTAATCATCATAAACCCGGCATTGCCCACCCAAACCACAACCAACCAAAACAACAAAACGCAAACATAACGCTAACACAATTACAAATACAAACAAAAACAAAAACCTAACAACAAACCCAACCACAACCACAAACACCAATACCAACAAAAAAAAACAAAAAACGAAAAAGCAAACGAAAACAAACCAAATCCAAACGCAAAACCAACCAAAAACACAAATACAAACCCCAACAAAAAAACACAAACAAAAACGAAAAAAGAAAGAACAAAAACGAACCAAATCAAAACGCAACCACTAACGTAAACCCACCTAAACACAAAGAAAACACTAACGCGAACATAAACGCCCGGGGCGGAATCACCTGTTTAGCTTAATGAACGACTATAGTACCCCAACTTATTCATAGTCTTTTGCACTCACTTAAACGAACGCGCCTGTTTCAATTTGATGAACAATTATTGAATTATTTTTTTTTCCCAACACCAAAACAAAGTAATTAAAAAGTAAATTCTTTTCCACAAAATGCAATGGTTTTATAAAGGGAAGTAATTGTGTTTTCCTAATTTATCAAAGGGAAGTAAGTGCTATAGGACTAAATAAAGACATAATTAGAATTTTTGTAAAAGATGATATTTTTTTAAAACTTGTGTTTAATGAACATGCCGACAATTATTACTATAATTTGAAAAATGAAAATTATTTCCCAACACTTTCAATAGTAATTTTTTAACTCATAAATTTAGACAAATGCGCACGATAATTGTCTAACACTTAAATCCATCCAAGACCAACGACAAACATATGTGTTACATACAGAACTGAGCTTTATATATTATATATATATATATATATATATATATATATATATATATATATATATATATATATATATATATATATATATATATATATATATATATATGCACACAATCTAAACTGAACATTTCACAAATGGCCAATGTTGAGAACGGTATAACCTACTTTTTAAGCAATATTTTACATCTGAGACAAAATTAAAATATAACTTTGAGTGCTGAATAAAATAAGATATTTAAAAAAGTATTTTTTTCAACAGCTGTGAGCTATGTGTCATAGAAGCTGCTTAGGATTTGAACTAAAAATAGAGTATAGAAAGTGCACACTAATTTCCACAGTGATCAATGGGAAATTCCAATAAGAGGGAAAATCCGAAAGGTATTATTTTCATTATATAATGTAGATACACATTTTAAAAAAATAAATACAATCCTTTATATTATTCAACTTTCTAGAATTTAGGCATTGAACGCTCACGAATTATACTGATGTGAGAAAGATGTATTACTATTGTCAATATATAGGTCAAGCAGATTTGGCAAGCCAATGATGAATGGTGTTAATAAAGCGAACATGACGGCACGTTAAACGGACTCAGTTAAAAACAGTAATTATCTTTATACAATTTTTATGTTTAAATACTAGCGTGCCCGTCCCTGCGCGTTGCCGGAGGAATAGAATAAAGTCTGACGAAATATTTAAAGGGGGTTTCATCAAAACTTTACCAATCATATATATTTAGACGTGTCATCTTGTTTTCTGAAAACTAAATTACTTAAATGTAAACATTGCCTGCGCTTGGATCATGTTTGCCGGGCACGGGTTTACATATGGTTTATGAAAACCTTAAGTGTACGTTAATCACT